GTGGATGGTGAATTCACTGGCGTGCGCTCATTTTGCAACTAGTGATGTCTAAGGCAAATGCGACACATGGCGGCTTTCTTAAATACAAAGCATCGGAACGTCGAAGGGCCGAAGATCTGCGGGTTTCTCTGTGGAGTCTCAATCGGATCCAACGGTCACTTTCACAGTAGTCACTTACACCTGTTGTCGGCCAGTACAGGCTGGATATTACGTTAAGCTACCAGTACGCAATTATAAGCGAGATAATTATGTGGTTCTATGTCTGTAGTCGTGGCGTGGCTCCTTTCTTCCAGTTTTTGAATTTGTTGAAGAGGCAGGCTGGTGAAAGAACGGAGCATTTTCCTGAACAAAAGAAATATTTGGAAGTGAAATATCCGGAAAAAATAGTGAGGTGAAAACGCTGATAAGAAACGACCGTCCTAAAGACGCTGTTTCTGGCAAAGAGAAAAAGGAAGCGACTTTTTTGTAGAATGAACCACGGAATCAGGCCCGACTCAATTCATGACATGTAAGTGTGCGGTCGCACGTGCGTCGACACGACGGGTACCTCCTAGGAGGCCCGTCGCGCGGCAAGAAGGCAGAGTCGGCGGACGAGTTGCAGCGCGTGATGTGCAGTGGGACACTCTATTTAACTTGACGCGAAATCCCTATAGTACGCGCGCGACTCGTCCGCTGACTTTGCCTTCTTGCCGCGCGACGGGCCTCCTGGGGGTACCCCGACACGACACGTTCAACACATTCACGGCTTCTTTGAGTGTTCAAAAAGCTGACTTGTAGTGTATCGGCTGGACCTCGACCTTCGCGACCTACGCGTCAAATATGACCGAGAACAAATTCTCAGCAAAATTCATGCCGTAACACAAATTTCGATAAGAACAAGTTCAATCTTCCAGAAGTGGAACAGTCAAAGACAGATATCGCCTTGATTTAGAAGCAGAGTGCGTAAGGCATCGTAAAAGGGATCGGTGAACGCCAAAAGCCTTGTCCTCTACCCTTCAAAGACAGAATCAACCCTTCGTTCGCAGTATTCGAACAAGGGAGGTCGCATTTGTGATTTTGGGAAGGGCGGGGTCGAACTTTTTCCGACGATTTTGGCGACAATTTCCTCGACATTCGGAAAAAATGGGCGGAGTTGGGTGTGTCGGCTGGTATCAGAAACAAATCACAAATACTACAGAAACAGTCACGATGGTGAGGGTGATGATCGGGGTAGGAAAGAGGGAAGTTGTAGTGGGGGAGGCTCCCAAAACAGGTGGTGGTGGGAGAGGAGGGGTGCATTGACACACTTCTAAAGCAGAGGGGTTGCAATATTCTCGGAAAAGTGCGAACGCGACTTTTGACCCAGGTTGGGGCAACCCTCTTAATATTGACGTGTCGAGACTCCAAAGTGGGTGAGTCGCAAAACTTTCGGTAAATGTGAACGAGACGATCGACCGTGCTTCAAAGTGATTTCCAAACAGTACCTGTGTTGATATCCTCAGGTAGGGCTTTTTTCTTCCTCTGTGAATAACGGCGAATTGCCGCGTGGAAGTCATCGTCTATACGTGGAGATGGCTGAAAAAATAAGTTCAGCAGGGGAAGGGAAATCGGTATGAGAAAAAAGTAGCATTACCTTTTCGTCAGAATCGGCAGGAGTGTAGGCTTCCTTCAATTCAGCCACGAGGCTAACCAGAAGATCATCGACGTCGTGATCCAATGCGACAGAAATCTCGAGATTTTCAAAGCCGAAGTGAGCGGCTGCTGCTCGGACTTCTAAATAGATCAGCTGATAGGTAGGCAATTCAAAATTACAATTCACATAGTACCACGCACAAGGGCCAATTGTCGAAGCCAGGGTCAAATTCAGCCGCGCTGATCAAGCAATTCACTGGTTCATTGTCAGGAAGGAAAGGAACAAACCATAACTGTTCTCTAACCCACAATTTTCTAGACACTTTTGGGAGGATAAAATATCGGTTGATCGGCCTCCAAATATTGATCTACAGACCAAATACGGTGCAGGTGCTTATGCGAATAGAGGTCGGATTCAATTTCTATGAAAAAGGCTATCTTAGTAGCGACCGGAGAAAGCAAAAAGGTAAAGAACTTACCTAAGAGCGGAGTGAAAGTGAAGGAGGTGTTTGTGCTATATTTTCGGATAAATTATGACGTGAAAAAAAATTAAGAACGTGTCTAGCGATGAGAGTGTAATTTTTGAATCCTAACTCATACCCCTAAAATAGGACTGTGGGACATGCCCACCTTCTGCTGTTGAGAGAATGCTCATTCATTCTAGCCGTCTTGGTTCCGATCTTTTCCGGAACGGCACTATTTACCCTTTACTGCCCCACTCCTCGAGAACTGAGCCGGGTTTTTATCGAAATTTGTCCATGACTGTGAATTTGGCTAGAAACTTGCCTTCAGGGGTAATTCGACCCGTAGAACACGAATATCACATTTCGTTTACCGCTAGAACGCCTGGCGCTCGCGCCAGAAGCGCCGGCGCCAAAAGGCGCCAGAACATCTCGGATCACCAAATTCGCTGGAAACTTGTCTTCAGAGGTATTTTGACCCGTAGAACATGAATATCACATTAGTTCGTTACGAGTGAGCCTGTAGCCTGCGCTACGAGCGCCCGCGCAAAACTGTTGTGATAGCGCCGGCGCCTGTGGCGCGGGCGCCAAGCGTTTTCGCGCTAAACCGGTGTGATATTCGTGTTCTACGGGTCAAATTACCCCTGAAGGCAAGTTTCTAGCCAAATCCACAGTCATGGACGAATTTCGATCAAAATCCGGCTCAGTTCTTGAGGAGTGGGGCAGTAAAGGGTAAATAGTGCCAAAAGCTTTCGCAGTTATCTGGATCCAGGCCAATTTCTCTTCAGTCTTCCAATAAGAGGAGTTGAAGGGGTTCGATCTGCCAACAGACTGGAAAGTTCCAACGAATGGTGCACGAATGGATTATAAACCGAACGAGGGTATTTATATGAGTCTCCATCAGCTTTCAGACCCCTTCAATACATGTACTATGTGAATTTCTCGAACGCAGTCGAGGAGGGGTGCAGACTTGACATACCAGCACACAGCTTGAGAACAAATTTGGGGAAATCATTCGCAGACGACTGCTGATCGTCTGTTCCTGTAGCAGCTCTTCAAAGGAGAATTCTCCGCTGAGGACGATGTTTGAATAAGGGTAAACTTACCAAGGGGGGGGGGGGACAGGCGGACATAATAAGTGTATGGACAAACACACAGTCTGCATCGAAGGATATGCCCCGGCGATCTAGCATGGCCTTCCCCGCGGCGCAATTGGCGCGCTATTGGCGCGGTACGCCCCCTCTCGCGTCGTCTCGTGTCTGAGTCTCTAGCCGTTTAGCAGAGAGAGCGTTAGCGTTGAAGAGGGCAGCACCGATGAGAGTCGCATCAATGCGCAAATCAACGGGCAAGGAAGGGGTCCCATTTCTCGGGTTCTGGGCCGTTTCTCATGGTTTTTTCTTCTTTCGTGTGTCACTCACCATCCTCTAACTAATTTCCAATGGGTTGCCTTTTTATCCTGAAATCTGCCTTTAACTCTGAACCTTGCATCATGTGCATGGATGCAGCGTACTATCGCTCTGGGGTCTGACCACTCGAAGGAGATCCGACGAAAAAAGCGAGAAATCAAATACGCG